GAATGGATTTCTAGATAACTGCTTGCAGGTCAATACTTCTTTTTCACAGAAACCATTTTTTTAAATTGGTTTATCTCAGGGAATCCTAGATAGCATGGGACTGGACAAGGGAAAAGTCTTTGGTGGCATGAAAATCAACTGAGCTCCCCCACTTCAATTACTCTGTTAGTGGGTGCATTTTTAGTTTAAGATTGTTTCGGCAGAAGGTTAGGAATGAAAAGTAATAAGAATTACAAATGGAATATGCACTCAAAATACATGTGTTACATTTAAATGCATGATATGTCACTTGCTATTTTTCATTGGTTTTTTTCATCCTTGTTAAGAATCAAGTTCTAAGTTGAATATTAAGCTGTGAATATGGGTATGCTCTAGAATCTATCTACAGTAGAATCAGGTAGCACTGTTGGTGTTTTACATTCAGAGAAGTATGGATTTAAAAATAACTCATTTTATATCATAACTAGCTGTTGTCATTCAGACTCCAAAAGGACACTGTACAGACTGCAGAATGCAGCTGGTGACTCTCATGGCATATGGTTGCCTTTTTGTAAACTATTTGCCTTAAACTTCTGTTTGTCCTGTGTCTGAAAATAATTTAAGAATCTAATCTAGATTAGATCTAGATCTGTATAATCTAGAAGTCATGAGATGAAAAAAAGTGAATTTATTTTATTAGGTTTTTTTCCTTTTTTTTTCTTTATTTTGGAGGACTGTATGAGAATATGACTAGCAATGCTTTTTGTTAAACATGCATATAGATGTTCAAGAACCATGAGGATTAATAAAGTTGAAAAAATACAGAGAAAAATTTAAGAAAGCTTAATTAAGGGGAGGTATAAAATGTTACTGGAGCATTTTTAATGGTGAAAACTTATTGTTAAATTCTTGCTAGAAATGAAAATAGGAGTTGGAAAAAGAGGAGGCATTGAAAGTGTGGTAAGTCAACCTCAACTACCTGGTGAGGGAAAAGGAATTATGAAAGGGAGAAGATATGTCACAAAATGTTGAAGTAGCAATTCTGAGAAGAACAACTTTAAAGAAGTTGTATTTCCGCATTTAATTTTTAATAAAATAATTTAATTACTAAATTAATTTCGTTTCTGCAGAAAATATCAGGATTTCTTCAAATAATGTCAGTACTTTCAGTACTTCAATTTTTCATCCATTTATATTAATTTTAACTTTTTTCTCCTAGTGTTGTATTGGAAGTGGACTACTCTGCAGTGAAAGCTTCTGTTAGAGTGCAATGAAGAAAGCACAGAATTTAGTATTTATTTGTTACCATGATCCTTTTTGATAGTAGAAATCAAATGCCCCTTTGTTGCATTCCTAGATGGACTCCTTTAACATTGTGGTGCATAGATTTGACTTTTTCCGTGAAGTGTTTCAGCACCCACTGTGTTGTTGCATTCCTGTATTAGCAGCAGCATTGAAGGATATGTAATTTTTGTGGTTTTCCTAGGTTGTTTTTATGTATGAGTTAACTTCTTCATGTGTAATAAAACCCACTCTTACTTACATTTCTCAAGCCTGCATAGAGGCTACTATGCAATACTGATTTAGTAGTGCAGTCTGATTGATTTCAAAATGCAGAATTAGGGGTTGGTTTTTCCAACTTTTTTTTATCTCTGCTCCCAAAATACGAAAATTTAGAAAGCACTTAAGGCAATAAACATATGTACAGCTGTTGTTACATAGTTCTCTTTACTTGCTTTTTATTTATCAGACTAAAAAATATTTCACTAAGGACTGGAATTTCAGTGATGATATCTCTAATATCAAATAGTATGTAAGTTCTCATAGTTGTATCCTAACTCACTTTTTTTTTGGGAATCAGACTCCTAGCATTGAGGAGTTGCTTTTGTTACCACTTTCTCTGTCTCCATACATTACTGTATTGTGTAAACTCACAATGAGTAAAAACAAGGTTTTAATTTAAAATCTTTTATTTGTGCCTATTCACACAAAGTATGGACAGATAATTTTAACATCCTTCTGCCATGAAAAAATTGTTGTATTCGGTGCTAAGACAAGAAAGAGCTATTGTCACCTTTTGGTTTTGATCTGTTGTTTTCATTGCAGATTTTTTCAGTTTGACTTGGTATGTGATTTTGCTTTCTCTTCAGACTGCTATGAAGATACTTAAAAAAGAAATAGTATTTGACAGTAAACAACGTATTATGGGACAAAAAAATTTTTATTGTGCTATAAATAAAGAGATGCCATGGGAAAGGATGAAAATTAATTTGGGAATGACAGTCCTCTGAGACATCAAAAGGTCTGCTCCACCAGGTCACAGTGTTTCGTTCTATGTACTGTTGCCTGGAGCACTCTGGGATCCAGCAGTATACAGGGGATACTCTGGTTCTTCCCAGAATCAAAGAAGGGTAAAAGCAGGTTTTTTTGGTTTTTATTGGAGCAAATTCACTGTAGAATAGTTTTCTTTCTTGAAAGTTTGTTGAAGTCTGCTTTAGATGCCTTAGTTACATGATGTTTTTTATGGTTCTTGCCCACCAAGCTGTCAAACATTGCTTTTGCCCTGTTGTATTCAAACAAGTATGACTGAGTCTACTCAAAGTGTAAGTTGAGATTGTTCTTGTGTAGTGTCAGACTGTCTTTATAGTATCTAGACAAAAATCAGTAGAAACTATGGGAATAGAGTAATTCCTGATGGGTTTTTTACCTAGTGAAATCTGTCAAAATAACCTCAAGTAGGAGGTTGTCCTGTGTGTTGATCAGGTGTGGTTTTTTCTGCTGTTTTACTTGCATACTAGAATAGCGTAATCTTTTAGGAACACTGTGTTCTATGCAGTAAGAAATCAATCTTTACTCTCCTGTTAGATGAAGTAATATATAGATTGAGGAAGCAAAGTACGAAAAGAGCTGCATAGGAAAGGGCAGATGATAATTAACTTAATTGTCTATATCTCAAAAATTCCTTTATGTGATCCTTATTTCTACTCAGTCATGGCTCCTGAGTGATATTTCTTTTTTTCCTCCTTCTTTATAAGCCTGTGAAATAAGAGGATAGGAGAGTAAAAGTTCAATTCATTTAGAGGAAAAGATAAGAGCATGCAAAGTGGTAACCCAGAAAAATGCTTTGACACATAACAGGATTTTTTTTCTATGCAAGTGTAACTCATCTAGATAATGTTTCACTAGTGCTGCAGTAGATGACTTTGTAGACTACTCAGGTGAGTTTGCTTAATGATTCATGTGGTATATTTGCTTTTTGATTGGTTTCAAGTGTTAAATTACTGTTCAGTTGTGGCGATAAGTAATTAGTGTGCAAGTCTGATTCAGGATAATCTGTCTGACTATTCTGAATATTCATAGTAAGTACTTTATTTCAGTTGGAAACTTAGTTTGAGCAGTACAGAACAAACATTTGAAATAGCTAGTTGCACTTTTGTACCATCCTGTCTCCATTCATTCTCCAAATTGCTGGAAAACATCCCATTGAAGACAGAACCCACATATCTCTGATTTCACTTCACAAATACATATATGCTTCTCAACTTCTGCTCAGTGCATAATGAAACTAAGTGTTAGTATGATGTACCTGTGTACTCAGAAATTAGATGCGTTAAAGAGCTGGAGCTTTTATAAAAAATGTGTGTGTGTGAATTTTTAGCTCAGAACCAAGAGTCTCTTTCAGATAGGTGAGATTTTTAATGATGTTTTAAGGGTGTCTCCAAGTACAGACTTTTGTTTTGATAAATGTTAAGTAAGTAGTAATGAGCTAGAAGGAAGACTCGAAGGAGCTGCTTCCTCCAATTCCATGAGGACCTGGGGAGTGGGAGAGTAACAAACAAAATTACTGATGCTTTCCTTAGTAATGTGGGTACATACCTTTTAAAGATTCAGCTAAATAATTTCTGCCAGCACCAGTTTATTACTGTAAGTGTAATAATATATCCAAAGAGCAAATGTTTTGTCTTTTGAATAGTAAAATGCAACTTCAAATGTACTGTTTAGCATATTTTTGCTCAGCATATTTTCATTCTTTTTTTGTGTCTGACGTCCTTATGAACCAGATGTAAGCTTTAGACATTGAAAACTCTCACATGTATCATAAGATGTATTGTAGAATAATCTAGAGGATTATTGTCTTGTTGATGATTTTTTATGTTTCTGTACACACTTCATTTTAGCTAGTGAATTAAAAGCAAAGCACTTACACTTCAGTTTTGACATGAAAGTTTTATCAGTTTCTTATCACAGTTATGGTGTCACTGCTAGGAAAATATTATAGATTAAAGCCCTTTTGATTTAGAAAGAGATGGGACAAAACAGAATGTGGAATTAAAGCAGACTCCTGGAGAAAAACACAGAGTTCTAATAGGCATTGAAGAGTGAGAGTGTTTAATGCAAGTGTCATGAGAATCAAATGAAATTATTGCAGAAACCTGAAGTTCTTGTTTTATGGCAGCGAGATTTTTCTGTATGCGAATGAATGTATGTGGTGAGCAATGTTGTATTATTTTTCTTGAGCTGCAAATTCAGCCAGACTTAATTCTCTTTAAAAGTATTTTGTAGCATAATCATTTTGGTAGCCTCCCTCAATAGTAATTTCTGTTTACTATGACAAATTCTGGAAATTCTTCAGAATTTTGAATTCAGCTCTGGCTTGTTTTTTGGTGTGCTATAAGTGCAAGTTAAACAGTATTCTAATGCATTCTTAATCCATTAACACAGGTACAACTTCTGTAAATGACTATTTTTGAATAAGCTTCTCTGAGTAATTTCTATACAGTTCTGCATTTATAGGCTTCTTCAGTAGCAGCAGGGTATTTGGTTCCTCATTTGCATTACTGTGTCTTATGGTCATTCAGTTTTGACTGTGATTAAAGTGCTAGTGGAATTAAAATAATGCTGTAGAAACTGCATATGTCAGATTGTTACATTTCGTAGGCCTAAAACACAGAACATGCATGCTCTTTTGCACTTGCTTTTTGTCTATGAAAAGATTTTGGTTTTTGTTTTTTTTTTAATAGAGGCTCGCAGGACAGCAGCAGGAGATAAACAGCTTAATGCAGAGAAAAAGTGCTGTGGATGAGGAAAATGCCCGTTTGAAGAATGAATTCGGTAACTTGAACTGGAAATTTAAAGATAAAAGCCAAGAACTTAAGGTATATTGACTTGTACATAGTTTTATAAGACTGTAGCTTTGAAGTAGTTCTTTAAGCAGTGTCAGCCTTTGTGGCACAGAAAGTGACAAGCTTGGAGAAAAAATTGCCTTAGGCCTTGCTATACCTTACTGTTTTCTCACATACTAACTGAGAAAGATGCTTTAAAGCCAAGAATCCAAGCCTTATAACTTTCAGATAAATAGTTAATGATGGAAATGGAGCAAAGAAAGTAGAAGTGTGAAGATGTGGCTTCTTGTAATTAGATTCTGATGGGACTGGCATTATTAATTGATAAAGCTGAGGTCTGGGAGGATATGTCTGTGTGGGTCTCAAAAATAGCTGGGGACAGCATCAAAGGCAGCTTGATCAATTAATGGGCTCTTTGCAAATGTGTACTCATCAAAGCTGTCATCCAGCTAAAAAATATGACCCTTCCACCTGCATGAAAGAGGCCAATAAAAGTGCACAGGTGACCTTGGCCATCAAATATAGAAGCTGCTGTGAGGGTAAAACTGCACAGTTTATATTTGCTGATTAGTTCTCACTTTTTTGTTTATCGGCCCTTGTGGTACTGTTCTACAGGACACTGAGGAGCGTGCACAGAAGAAGGAAGAGCAAAACAGACTGGTTATAAAAAGCCTGGAGGAGGAAAATAAGGGATTAAATATATGCTGTGCCGACCTGCTAAGTGACCTGGAGAAACTGAGGAAGCAGGAGGCACAATGGAAAAAAGAAATATCTGGCAATGATACCAGAATAAAGGTACAAAGTGGAACGGACTCCTGGATGTTATTTGAGAATTAACTTCTCCAGACATTTCACTACAAATTATTTCCTTTAAATAGCAAGTTATATATTCAAATCTACCAGTGGGGACTTGCATTCATTTACATTCTATCACTTAAGACCCACAGCTTTTTAAAAATTGATGCTGCAAAGCAGGAATCTGACTTCAAATAGTCATCTTAAAATGTAATCATTAAAAAATAAAAGATGCTGTACTTTGAGATTATTTATATATATATGTATATATATATGTGTATGTGTGTGAGAAAATAAAAGCTTAAAAATATTACCACAATTTTTTTTCTTGATTTGTAATTTACTTACATATAATCTCGTTGCAGTAGACTTAATCTTTGTTGGTATGAAAGAACATGTAGTTCCAAATAAATTGTGCCCTAGCATCCAAAGGTCTCTGTTCTATGAGGGATATTATTATTGCTTATACCATATTAAAAAGTTATTTTCATAGTTTAAGATAAAGCAGAAAAAAAAAAAAACTGAATACATAGTGCACATCTTTTTTATTTAAACTATACTTTTTCTTCTTTCAAGAAAACAAGCCAACAAAATTGGCTCGTGTTTTTTAAATTCCTCCAAGAAATGAGCCATAAACATGGCAAATCTTAATTCAACAACTGCTAGTATACACATCTAGGTAGTGGATTCTTTTTGTTTGCATGACGAATGTACACTTAGAATGATGTGTTCTTTTACATTATTGAAGTACATTCATTGCAATAACTATTTAATTAACACCTCACCCAGAAATGCCCTTTTTTATTTTCCCACACTAGCAATTTTTGGATTGTTGTGGTGATGGAAACTCTTTTGAAAGAGCTTAATTCAGATCTCTTAACATGGGAAGTAAAGTTCTTGCAAATTGACTTCTTCTGACTGGTTATGATGAAAGGATTATAGAGTTCCTAGGACAAGAAATGATTTGTTGATTCTTGGGAGAGAAAAATCTTGTGAGTGCCAAGCTGCTAAAATAATTTTTAAGTTGCCAAATGTAGTGCTTGTAATATTGGACAAATTGTTGAAAATCTGTTACTTGTCCCTTCAATGAACAGAGTCAGAATATCTCCTCTGTCTCTGTCTTCCTGGCTGATGAGGCGTGCTGGTGAATGAAAGAGCTGGGCGATTGTAGGGATGGGAATTAGTAGTATTGGTAGTTCAAAGGGGTGTTACAAGCCGGTTAAGTTGGTGTCTAGAGAGTGAAAGAGAGTACTTCTGGGGGTAGGTGTTGCCTGAGACAGCCAGGGATGTCACAGAGTTGGATTTGCTGTTTGCAAACTAGGAAGAACTTGTGAAGATAATACTAATTTGCAGTCTTGGCTGTAATGACCATGAAGTTGCCAAGGCCAAGACCTTGAGACAGTGATGGAAGGAAAATAGTGCAGTATAGCCCTGGAATTAAGAAGCAGAGTCTTCAGATGTTTAGGGAACTTGTAGGTGGAATCCTGTGAGAAGCAGTTTCGAAGGGTAAAGAGCTCATGAAAAGCTATGATGTCTTTAAAGACAGCTTTCTACAAACCCATGTATGGTCCACTTTGGAAAAATATCTCAGGAGATCAACTTGGCTAAACAGATCTCACCATTAGATTCTGGTGTAGGCTGCAGATGGAAAACAGTATTCGGGATGTGGAAACTGAAAGCTGTAGAGGGAGAGTTTAGAAACATTATCTGGACGCTGAAGGGTAGTGGTAACCTACGTGCAGTTGAAAGTTGCAAGTTGTGACTGATACAATCAGAATTTCTTGGAACTGCTTTATCGGTGAAAAATTGAACAAGGAAAATGGGGACCTGCTGCTGAAATGGAATGATGAATTAATTACAAAAGGTAATAGAGTCAGCAGAGATACTTAATATTGTCTTTGCCTCAGTCTTCTCCAAGGTGTCCCCAACAGTTTGTGCCTAGAGACAGACTTCAGTGGGAAGTACTGAGAGTGGACGTGTTGGAAGATACCTGAAAGAACTTGACTGGTGCACGTCCATTGGGACTACCTGAAATTAACTGCATTCACAGGTGCTGAGAGTGTTGGCTGCCTCTCACCCTTTAATTTGGGAGTTGAGTCAACATGTTTTTGTACATGTTTTTAAGTAATAGACATGGCATTAACAATCTTAAAGATGCGTTGTATACAGATGTTACCATGTTAGTCTCCTCTCTCTGAGGGAATAAAAGGAATCCTTCTCAAAATAAGCTAGCCCAACATTACCTTTAAAATGTGCATTAGATGGTAGAAATGTGAGATCTAAATCACAGATTGCTTCTTAGGAAAAGTAGTTACCTATGGAAAGGCTGAAGTGTTAGCTTTTTTTTTTTTTTTTCATCCTTCTGTCTTTAAACCATTTCCATTGAAGAAAAGTGCCACTTCTCACTTTTGAAGACTGGTTGTTACTGTAACCTACAATAACCAGATATAAAATTCAACTTCTTGAAACTGAGAGAAAGGAACAGCTGCTATGAATAGTTTGTCCTTTTAAAGACATTTCTGTGAAGTTTTGTCATACTAGCTGAAATCAGTATGAGACAGGTTAACAGGAGGATACCTGATAAGGTGGCTAAAAGGCTGACAATAGCGTTTTATTGGTTTTCTTTTCTGTATGTACCTTCATATAAATAATATACAGTGTACAGAAAGTTAACTGTACATCTGCCTAAAGTAGTTCTTGAGAACTTTTTGTGCTTTTTGTGATTCCCAGAGTTTATATATCAACTTTCTATATGTCCTGAAACGGAACAAATGAAAAAGTCATCAGTTAGCTAGGTGTCTCCCTATCTAAGAATCAGTTAGTTATTTGAGTTATTTGATTGTTCTTGATACTAAACTATTGTTTAGTATCAAGATAAATATATTTTCCTCCAAACTCAAGTCACAAAAGGATTTGTATGTAGATGAAAAAATGTCAGACTGGCAGATTTTAAGTGGAGGTGAAGTAAAAGATAATGGGATTGCTTACTGGTGGGTTGGTTGGTTGTTTTTGTTAATTCCTAGTTAGCATAGTACTTTTGAAGTTTCTGAAGTCTGAAGGTTGGAATTTTCAAAGAAGCGGCCATCTCTCTCGAGAGGAGCCTAGGATTTTAGTTCCAATGAAAAATGAGAGTTTTATTGAGATGGGACCTTGAAAAATTACTCTCACTTCTGTCATAATATATAACAGGAAAAAACATGAAAACAAAGCTACTGTCTTTGAAAGTGACTTTCAAAGGATTTGAAGCTACAAATAACAAAACTGTGCTGTTAATTCATAGTGACTCCATAACGGGCATAACTGTACTTCCTCATGCCTTGGTTTTCTTACACTTTTCATGTTTAAAGTTATTTTAAATTCACCTTTTCTTGCTGTCTTGCACTACATCTTTTATAAATATGCATTTTCTCTCTTGTATAACTGAATTATTCGATGTTTTGACTGTTTCAAGTAGCTTTTTTTTAAATAGGCTTTAAAAGCTTGAATCTTAAATGTTCCTTTGAAATAAACTATAATTTAAAAACCCAGATTGGAGTATTTGTGTTAGGTAAATTTTCACAAATTTACATAGCATGTTTACGCAATAAATATTTTTGGCTACTGTATTAGCAAGAAGGGAATGTGATAAATTCCATATGATCTTAAAAATGCAGATCCTCAGAAATTGAGTGTAAAATATTATAAGTTTTTTCATGGTCAAAAATACGATGTTGATGAAAAACTAATCATGAGCCTGCAATGTGCACTTGCAGCCCAGAAATCGTTTAATGGGCTGCATTGAAAGAGATGTGTCAGCAGGTTAAAGGAGGTGATTTTCCCCCTCCACTGTGCCCTTGTGAGACCCCACCAGGAGTGCGCTGTATATTTCTGGTGTGCCCAGCATGAGAAGGACATGGTATTCCTGGACCAAGTCTGGAGGAGGGCCCTGAGGGGACTCAGGACCACTTTCCCTACAAAGACAGATTGAGCAAGTTGTGGCTGTCCAGCCTGAGGAAGAGAAAGTTGTGCGGAGACCTCATAGCAACCTTCCAGGATCTGACCAGGGCCTACAGGGGAGCCAGAGAGGGACTCTTTGTCAGGAGCTCTGGTGATATGACATGGAGGAGTGGTTACACGTTGAAAGAGGGGAAATTTAGGTTAGAGATTAGGAAGAAGTTCTTTAGTGTGGGGATGAGGAGACATTGGAACTGGTTGCCCAGGAAGTGGGCAGATCCTGACAGTGTTCAAGTGCAGTTTGGATAAGGCCTTGAGCAACCTGATCTAGAAGGGAGAGCTCCTTGCCCATGGCAGGGAAGTTGGAAGTAGATGACCTTTCAGATCCTTCCTAACCCAAACCATTTGATGATTCTATTTTAGATTTCAGTATTCAGCTGAACTTTTGGACATCAATATATATATTTCAATAGCTAAGGTATTTGTATAACAAGTTTTTTTCTTTCCCTTTTTTTGTGTTTTACTCTTTCAGTAATGCTTCCAAAAAAATCGAGCTTTCAAAATATGTTCAAAAAGATTGAGCTGATTAATTTCTTACTTGAAATTAGAAGCTGAAGTTAAATATCTCACAAATGAAGTACTGAAAGATGCTTTTTTCCTGAATTTGAAATTCGCCTTTAGATAACTTCTGAAGTTTTATTTATGAGAAAATAATGTATTACATATTCTTTGTATTGTATTCTGCAATGGATGATGGGAACTTAAAGCATTGGTAATGTTAGATTTTTTTCATCTCTTCCATGGAAAACCTGCAACTTTGTAGTGTGGTATTAGTAATAGGCAAATAGAATTTATCACAGAATATATGAACTATTAAAATTTTTGCTCACATATTAAATATCTTTACCTACAGAGAAAAAAAATACTGAGGAGAAGCCCTACAGTTACTTGTCTGCAAGTTATAAATACCTTATTACACCTAAAAATTTTTATGTGTTGATAGTGAACTGTCTCCTACAATTTTGAATTTTTTCATTATTTAAGGAAAAATTAAGTTTCTCTACCTAGCCTTTGGCACTGAAGGGTGACTCATTTGTTGGGTACACTAGGTGTGTAGCCTGATTTTTGTTGAGAAACAAATTAATTTCCTACTTCATTCACATGTGAATTTTGCTATTTCCTCATATCAATGTTAATGTTATTAACAGGACATTATAGTTTTAATGCAATTTCAAGGATTTCAATGAATTTGTTGGTAGTAAACTTCTGATACATCTAAATACCTATAGGACATTTTTATGCAATTTTAAGGAATTTAATTTATTTGAAATTTAATTATTCACTTTTTAGTTATAGAAATATTTTGATAACCTCAATATTTGAGGTGTCATTGCTGAAAGGGAAATATATGCATTTTCTTATTTCTTTAAGTCTGTATGTAAATGGAAAACTAATATACTCTTGGCAGTAGATTAGGGATGATACTCTAAGAGGAGGCTTTTATTTTAAATTATTAATGAATCATGGAATATTTGCCTTACAGAGCATAGTGATTGCATCTGTGAGTAGCATAATACCAAAGAAGGTCTAAGGCTGTTGCCACCATCTGAAATTCTGTTCTTGATATTGCTGTAATATTTATATTTCCATTCTTGCCTCAAAACACTCTGGGGAGAGTAGTCATACAAAGCTTGGTAAGGACTGATGCGCTTTTCTTAGGGAACTCCAGCAAGGTTTATGTAGACATTGAAGTCTTGTTTGAGTAAGCTGCCTTGCTATTGTGTTTCCTAGATACACCTTTGCAGGTTGCTGACTAACTTCTACAGTAGGGCTCACGGTAAAAGGCAGACCCTTGCTCATTTGCATTGTTTTCAGTGAGTACTTTCAGAAATTTTCTGGTATGCTGTTTCTTCTCCTGAAGAAGTTATTCCTTGCACTGAATTAGCAGTACAAAATAAGAGCAGATTTAACAAGTAGTCTCAAAAATTAATCTGTATCTATGATTCTTAGTTCATATACATGATATTGTGAATTCTTGTGAGAGCTTAAAACAATGAATGCATAGCTGCTTTTCTTAGGAACTTCTATGTAGAAAACAAGGCTTAATCAGTTTAGTAGTTAAATTGGGAAGGTTGCAAAGAGTTGATTCAGGTTCCTCCTTCCACATCCAGCAACTGAGTTAAGGTAAACTTCTTAGAGTAAAGAAAAGGTGGCCACCTAAAATTTGAAATAGACCTTTTTCCTGGTATTTCACATTTTTCATACATATATGCATTTTCATGCATATATGCCTACCTATATGTATTTGCTTAGATTGCAATAAATATATGCATGTATGTATGGGCACATCCATATATCTATATACATAGATAACTTGCATAGCAGATTTTAATTATTTCTTCTTAATGCATTTCATTTGCTTTCTTTGCAGAATTTGGAAACCGATTTAGCAGAGACAAGAGAACAAATAAAAAGTTTGCGCAGTACATGCAGTAACTTGTCATCTCAGGTAGATGTGAAACAGGAAGAACTTTTCCAAAAGGATTGTGATGTGGTTGGAGCAAAGTAAGTATTTCATAATAACTTTAAGTCTGAATCCTCTCAAAAAGGCTATTATTCTAGTTAAAAAGTGGTATCATGCATTGAAGATACTTTTGTGCAACAGTGTGTTTTACCATTCTGTTCACAAGGTGTAAGGCTTCTGGAAGTCTGCCAGTTTATGTAGACTCTTCCTGATGCATTTTGACTCTTGTATATCATAGCTGGTTTTGAGTAGTGATAGACTTGAGAAATTACACTTCTGTAATTTGCATTGTGTCAGAGAACTACCAATCTTGACTGAAAGTAATAAAGTAACAATATGATTAGGGACATGAATATTAATTAGAGAGGCTAAGCACCCTAAACTTGAAAAAGCTTTAAGCCTAAGTGTAATTTCTTAATTACATTAAAATCTGACAAGTCAGCAAAATTCTACGTGGGCCTGTTCTAAAGGTTTAAAGTGCAGTGATTTAAGCTTTATCTTAGGTCTCACACACTGTTTCTTTACACTGAATCTGTAAGATTAGTGCTGCATTATTTGTGTTTTGGAAAAGAACTAAAGGACAGAATGAATTATATGAATTGTAAAGATTACTTTAATTCTGTACTGTATTCTATACAGACATTACACATACAGTAATGTCAGAAGATAATTGTTAATTCTAAGTCAATTGTCAGAAAATTGTCCATGTTTTACTTCTTAACTTCAGAGGCATACACTTTGTTTCATTCCTATGTTAGATTAATAATATTCCCTTCAATATTCCTTTAAATGGTGGTTTTGCCTGAAGAGCTGCAGTTGGGAAGTAGAAATCATTGGTATGGATGCTCCTCTTTACTTTCCAAGCACAAAAAATCTTTCTGTAGGGAGTCAATATTTAAGTCTTTTTTTTTTTAACCAAAAACCAAGAAATATTATTTTTGATGCATCTGAACTAAATTGTCATCTTGAAATCTTTTCATGTTGAAATCTCTGCAAGAAAGATGATGTCTATACAAGAAAAATTATTTTCATGTTTAGAAGAAATTATACCACTTGGGTTTTGAAAAGTCACTAAACATGCATAAGCTTATTGGGAGATTGTATTGAAAGAGGCAATCAATAGAATTTGTGAAATTCAGCAATGGACTAATAGAATTTATTTCCCGAAATTATTCTCAGAAAAATACATATGTGTGAGGATTGGGGACAGCAAAGAAGGCATTTTAGAGTCTGGTAGTCAACTTTGCAAAGTTACTGCTTGCTGGTTTCAGCTTCAGATGTTGCAATCTGAGTTGACCTAATCTTTTAACTTCAAATTTCTCAAAATGAATTCTTTGATATTCTTTGGAAAACAGCCCCTTAGAATTTGGCGCAAGCACCTCATTAAAATGTGGAAGTAAAATAAAGACATTTTTGAACATAAGATCTGAATATGAGGTAATAAAGAGATGAAGATAACACTTATTTTAAAGTGAAGTCTTCTTCTATGTTTTCCATATAACAAATCCTCTAGATTTATGGGAAACTATTTGATAAATCAGTCATATGGGGGGGATTTTGTGTGCTCTAACATTTTCCTTACTAGATAGTTAATGGTATTGCAATAAGTAATAGTATTTTTGGGTATCACTAGTATGTGAGTTACACTTCACATGTCTGTATGTATATGTTTGATCAGTATCATTATAATTCATTTTCTGCTAATCTTTCTCAATGAACTTCAGCTACAAATTTCTTGTTGACATTTCTGTTATGAAGAAAGAAGGCTTAAGCTTATATTATACAAAATTCACAGTTTCAGTAGTTAGCAATACATACCAAGAATTGCAAATATTTTGTACTTTTATAGTATAGAATACTGAAATTTCTTATCTTATTTCTTCTCTTCTAAGATATCAGTATGTAGAGAAAATTGCTTTTCTGTTGTTTCTCAATTAAAAATGGCATCAAAATTAAGCAAGTCTTTGTAAAAAGAAGACAAACTCTTATTTAAGTTAAAGTAACAACTCCCCAGTTAAAGGAAAAAATCTGAGAAGAAAATGAGAATTTTCGGACAAATAGTGTGGAAAATAGCCCATTCTCCTTAGCATCTTCAGTTTCCCATAATCAATTTCAAACTTCAGAGCTGAAAAAGGCAATTTGACTTGCAAATGTGTCCGCTCTCCCTAGTGCTCTGTCTCACTGTTTGCTGCCTTCCTACCTTCCCCACCCTCTCATTCCGTGGAAACAGAGCAGGAACACAATTGAAATTATTAGAAACAAGCTCTAGAAGCAGAAAGAAAGAAATAAAGTCAACTGGCTTCCTTCATTTGGTGTCTTCTTTCAGATACAGCATAGGCAGATTCAGAAAAATACACCTTCTGCTGACACCTTGGTAATACTATCCAAAGTTTTTACATTATGTGGTAAGTTCAATTGCAGAAGCAAGTCTCCAAGGGAATGTGTACATACTGGGCTAGTGCTCTGTTTCTTGTGCATTCACCACTTCCTGTGTTGCGCATATCTGTCAGCTTGTTGGCAAGAGGTTTTTTTTAGTTTAACAGTAGATGTGTCTGTCGACATCAAGAGAATTGTTTTCTTCAGGAAATAAGTGGAGATCAAACTTTGAAGAAATGGTCCAGTGCGACTCTGGTTCTACAGAATAACAAGGTGGTTTTGAGAATACTACCATATGGCAGTAAAAGTCTGCATACTTTTGAGGTGTGGGAGATAAATTTTCTAGGACCAGTGACCAAACAGTATTTACAGGATACATCCTGTGTAGTGACTGTCTTGAAGAAGCCATTACCTTTCTTTTTTGGCCTAATTTTTGCCAAGCACTCTTCACCTCACTGGGTTTCATTTCAAACTTCTGAATTACCTGTGACATGTGTTTTCTTGTTATATTTTTGATATTTTAATTTTGTACAGATTTTCTGTATCTCTTTAGAGTCCATGGTAACCTTTCCATTTTCACGTTATCAAGCTTGGTGATTTTTGCTTTAAAACTGTGCTAAATACCAGGGCCTAGAACTTTGTGATCTGACACAGCTCTGGTGGAACTCTAAATATCAAACTGGAGAAGTTTGATTGATTCACTGAGGCTTGAGTCATGCTGTCATAAGTATCCAGGAAGTATTAAACTCTTTGCAAATAGATAAAATCTATTCTAAAATGAGTTTGAATTTCTTGCCCCAGTGTTTTTAGCGGAAATGTGGGCCATGACTTCATTCCTTTGATTCTTATCTAGTCCAACTCTATCCCTGATGATTTTACAACTATTTTTTCCTGCAATAATGTTTCTATTTTTACTCCTCCACCATGTGTGCCCCCACCCTGCCCACCACCCCTTTCAATGCAGTTGCTCTTAATTTGTGTGCTGTAAATTATGAGGCAGTCAGATTTTTACTCAGGTGTTGTTTTGCTGCTCTTGTATTTTTCAGGTTATTCTTTGCTGTGTGCTGCAGCAGTATCAGCTACAGCAGGTTGCCCAGTGTTGTAATCATATTGTTTTTATGATATTTCTAGAGTCCCATACCTTCTCTCCGTGTTTTCTTACAAGCAGTTCTTCATAGCAGTGTTGCTCCTGCTTCTTTGTCAGGGCTCCTCCAAGGCTCTCCCTGACCAGCCAACCCACCCCCTTATATCCCAGTTATCTTCACTAGCCACAGCTGCTGCCCAATTAAGGACATCACAGCTGCAGCCCATTTAGAGCAACTAGGACTGGGACAAGGCCACTTATACAATACATATATTTTACTAGGACTCCTACTGTATTTCCCCCTTTTCTTTTACTTACAGATATTGAGGTACAATACAAATATTACAATACATACATTCCCCCGTGACTCAAAGGCCGTGTACAACACACACATATTTCCCCACAGCTTCTTGACTCAAAGGCCATATTTCTCACAGCTCCTGGCTGTCACAGCACCTTGATTCAACAGCCATGCTTCTCCACAGCTCTAGGCTGTCCCACGGCTCTTCTTCCACAGCTCTCAGGCTGCCACAGCTCTCGGCTGTCCTATCTTCTATTGCGTTGGGGTCACCACTGGTTGTAATCATGTTGTTGCTATCATATTTCTAGAGTTGCATACCTTCTGGGTGGTTTTCTCACACACAGCTCTTCATAGCAGTATTGCTCCTGCTTCTTCATCAGGACACCTGCAAGACTCTCCCTGACCAACCAAGCCACCCCCTTTTATCCCAGTTATCCTCATTAGCCACAGCTGCTGCCCAATTAAGGACATCACAGCTGCAGCCCATTTAGAACAACTAGGATCGGGGCAAAGCCACTTATACAATACATATATTTTACTAGGACTCCTACTATAGCCCAGTACTGTGTCCAATCTGAGTATGTCCAGAATGGAGACTCTGCAACCTCTCTGCATAGGCTCTTCCAGTGTTTGGCCTCTTTCAATGGATAAAAATATTTTTACTGTGTTTAGCTGGAATTTCATCTGTTTTTTATTGGTGCTTATTGCCTCTTTTCCTGTCACTGAGCACCACTTACAAGAGTCCATCTGCATCTTCTTTCTAGGTTGCCATCAGATATTTATAGATGTTGATAGTTCAATTGTCCCTGAACTTTCCTTTCTCCAGGCTGAGCAGACCCAGCTTTCTAGCCTCTCTATGTATTCTACGCTGCTCTCTATCAGCAGATGCTGCAATACTTAAATCATCTTTGTGGCCCTTCATTGGCTCTCTCCAGCCATGTCCATGTTTCTCTTGTACTGAGGAGCCCAGAAACTGACACAGCACCAAGATGTGCTTTAAAACGTCTGACTAGAGGGGAGGTATCACCTCCCTTGTCCTGCTGGCAGCAATATCCTCTTCAAAGCTCAGGATGTCATTGGCATTTGGCACAAGGCCACATTGCTATCTGATGGCCATTTAGGTGTCCACTAGGGCATTTTCTGATAAGGTGCTTTCAAGCTTGTCTGTTCCCAGATTGTGTTTTTATACAGGATTTTTAACCCCAGGGGCAGTAATTTGCACTTGTCTGTTGAACTGCATGAGGTTCCTGTATCCAGCCTTTTGTCTGGTCTGTAAAGGTTCCTCTCAATGGCAGCCAAGCATCTTTTGTGCAGTCCCCCTTTTCTGTGTCATAGGCAAAGTTGCTGTGGTGCATTCTGTCTCATTGTCATTAATGAAGATGTTGAAAAGTGGTGGCCCTAATGTCAGCCCCTAGGCTGTTCCTGTAATTCGTGGCCTTGTGCTTAATTTTGCTTACAGCCCTTCAAACCCAGTAGTTCTACCAGTTCAAATGATGGACATTTTTAAGCAGACAGTTTTACTGTCTGCATATCTAGTCTATATATGTCTGCATATCTAGTCTATATCTAGTCTGATAGACATCAGTCTGTCTATCAAATTTTATGGGACACTATGTCAATAGTGTTACTGCAGTCAAAAAGAAGGGCATCGGTGCTCACCCCTTATGCAAGAGAAGGGAATTGCCTCAAAGAAAGCTGCCAGGCCAGCTGGTTACAGCATGGTGCTAATAACATCAAGGTTGTGGGTTCAGTCCCTGTAAAAGCCATTTACTTAAGAGTTATACTTGATGGTCATTGTGATCCCTTTCCAACTCAGAATATTCTCTGAATCTGTAAATATTATTTCCTCTTAAGACTCCCAGTGATCATCTTCTCCACTAGATGGTCCATCACCTTCCCAGGGACTAAGATGCAGTTGACTGCTCTAGTTTCCCAGAACCTTCTTTTTAACGTAGGCCTTTGTAAAGAACCTGTATCCATGCATGGCAGTGCTTCAGTCATGTGAGTTGTCCCACCTTGTCTCTGTGATCCCAGTGAGTCCATCAGGTGCCGACAGATCTCTTATTCCTCCTGTTGTCTTCCATGAAGATGTGCTGTGTCCATTTGAACAGCAGCTTCAGATAGGCACCTAGTTGAGCTAATTTCCCAGTGTGTGGAAAATCACACTGTAAAAGATCAGTTTCTACAAAGGAGACAGAGTCGTCTTGGACTTTTGGAAGACATGGCCTCCTTTATCCTAAACTCCTGACTGCATGTTGCCCCCCTTCTCCTTTTCCCATTGGCTGAGGTTCCAGGAAGATAAAGCCTTCCTGAATCACCTACTACATTCCCCCTGTAAGCTGTATCCCCCTCACCCCCATCATGCATTGCATGGCTGTGAAAACTAGCTTTAAGCCCACCCTGGCTGGAGAAGTTAATATTCATAAGTCTAGTAAGCCTGCACATTTTGCCCTGAAGTTCAGCATGCACTTGGTTCTGCAACAAACTTGAGTGGCTTGATATTCATGAAGACCCCCACACCCATTTCTCCAGAACTTCACTGGTTCTTTCAGAATGAGTTGTTTGTGAAGATATTAACACCCATTTCTCCTTCACCAGGAAGACTCTTATGAACCTCCCTCATACTGTCAGCACTCCATTATTTGTGTGCATATTTGTGTGAACATTCTGCTGCTCATCACAAGGTCTTTTCCGTCTGTATCTACCTGTCTCCTTTTGCCTGCCAGTCCAGGCCACAGCTCCCTCACTTGCCATTTCATCAACATCTTTGATCCCTGCCGTTCCTAATTTAAAACTCCCCTCGTTGATTTGGCCCATTTCCTATCAAAGTGCTTATTTATGCATAGCTGTTTGTATTGCACATTGGTACTGAATAGTGCCTGGTAAAGGTTAGCGTAATTTCAATATTGGTCTGTAAAAGTGGAATAAAAGAAGGCTCCCCTATTGATTTGCAATGTAAAAATAGTGCCTCATTCTCTAAAGACAAAAGCAAGTTGAGGTACAAGTATGAATAAATAAAGTTTGATTTCTAAAATGTAGTGTAATGGAACTGTGACTGAATTTTCTTACACTTAAAAAGCCTTGAATTTAACATAAAAAAATTTGTTAATGTGTTCTGACTGTGCTGTGGTTCTTGTGTGGCTGGCTGCAAGATTTAGTTTCCCCTCTCACCGCCTTCCCTTAAGGATATAACTGGAAGTCTGATAAAGTCATCAAAAAAGATTCCCATTGACCTGAATACACTTTGTGGGCAGACTGTTAGAGAACACATAATTCTGCATTCTTGGGTGACAGACATAGATAACTGCATTGATGTTTGCATACAAATTAAAGAGTAGCAATATAGCAGACTGGTCTTGAGGGTTCAACATTATCCCATGTTTTTCCCTTCCACAACAAAATGAAGATTTGATTGGAGAACCTGTGCAAAATTAATATAATCTGTGTTTCAATGGCAGTGAAAAGATATGCTATTTTCAATTATATACATGCAGTCAGGGAAATTAAAGAAGAGCTTGTTTGGAAGCCTGTTGTAGAGCTGTCAGAAAGCCCCTAGTATATCACTTGTCTGTAGTTCTGCTGCTATTCTTCTGAACAGAATTAAATTAGTACATATGCAATACATAGTGCAGTTGCACTTTTCATGCATCAGGAGTCTTTAGTGTATCTCTACCTTCGTTAACTTTGCGGAACTACTTCACAATTTATGCAGAACATCAGGACTTTGTGTTAAGTCCTAGTAAGCATTACACTTACTTACAAGTCCTAATAAGTGTTATACTTTGTTGCTCTCATAACAGGCTTTCTGAAATGGTGCTTTTTAACAAGGAAACTAACTGACTGTTGTATTGCGCATGCAGTTTAAATGCATATGTAATTATTCAGGTGTATCTGTATTGAATAATCATTCAGTCACAAATTCTAATCAGGTTTTAAGAAAAACTTCTGTGAATTTCCTTTAAAATTGTTTATTTGTCATTCTGTTTTCCCTGGAAGAAGACAATGAAGTTGTTATTGCTGCTTACCTTTTATACATGAATCTTTACCTAGATATCTCCAGAAGCATTAGAAAAACAAAATGATAGCTCCTTTAATGATAATTCCAGTCACAGAAATATTACATATATGTTAGAGGTTAAAAAGACAATTCTTTGAGGAAGTAAATTAGTTGGAGTGCTAAATATAAATTTTGGTGTCTCTGTGTAATACTAGTTTGCAATGTGCTTGTGAATTAAAAGGGAATTAAGTAGAAAATACATAGGCAGAGATTAATAGAGTCATCGGTACTTCCAATGTATGTTGCAGAACATGTTCAAAGTCTTAATCATTGTTTATAGTAAGTGTTACTGTGCTTTGATCTTAATTTAGAAAATTGATCAGCATTACAGTGAAATTATTGAGAAATCTGATTATACTAAATCTATCCTATGATTGCATTACAACACCATTCCTCTTATTGTGTTTATAAGGCGTTTATTATGTTATATGATATGCACCAAAGGTTTTGCTTACTTTGTTTATGGTTGTTGCAGTATTCTGTACCTGCAGACAAAAAGTAATTTATCAGCAGGCATATTCATGTGTCTAGGGAGTAGATGCATGTCAGGAAAAAAGGTTGCTTCACTCATACTCTGCAATTTTTCTGCAGGAAAAAATTTTACCTTTTTCTGATTGCTCTAAGTAAAAAAACCCAACAACTTATTTACAGTTGATGTGTTCTGTGTATTTTACATTTTGAGACTTACTGCTAAAGAGTTAACTGAATATTGATTAGAAAAAGATGAAGTAGTGAAAATTTATTTATTTTAGAGCAGTTAAAGCATTAAAGGGAAATAGAAAGGCATCCCATTTTGAAGGGTAACTGGTTTTTAGGTATTTCTCAAAAGTGTATGGTAAATATTTTATATGTAACTTACAGTGTTTGTAAGGCAATTGACAGAAAAATAAATGAAGATAGGAAGCTCATTATCTACAATAAAATTATTTGCATACAATTTTTAACAGAGGTCATTGTTCTTTTTCTTAATTTCTCTTTATTGCTTGTTTTGCACAGGAAGAAGTTAGAGGAGCTGCAGAATCTTTACAGACAAAACACTGAAGATAGAACACAGCAGGCTGAGCTGATAAAGCAGCTAGAGGCTCTCAGTGCTGATATACAAAAAGTACTGCAACACCATGAATATGCTCACACAGCTAAAACAACATATCAAAAAGTATGTTATTCTGCTTTATGCTCATAGGGTTCATTTTAATATCCATCTGTACAATATCAATGCACAGAGTAATCAAAGCTCTTTGTAGTGTTGCACTTTTTAGATCTCTGTTATTCTCTATTATTGCCAAAATATAATTGAGTATCTGAGTTTATTGGTCTGATTGCGGACCAGCATATATGGCCCCTTGCATACATAGAATGGATCAGCCTTAAAAAATTAAGATTTTGTTTCATCTGAAGACAAGTAGGATTGAATTGCCAAGCATATAAATGTCTTTATCTGATTTGGTGTTAATTATGTTTTTATCTTTCTCTTCTGTAGGACAGGAGCTTTCAATTACTAAACTCTCCAAATTGATTTTCATAGTTCAGGGGAAGATGTTCTTTTCACTAAGTGAAGTATTTGTGTGACTCACAAAGAATATTAGTGGTTTAAGATACAAACAACTGCTCTATAAAAATTACCTGGAAAAATTGTTGCTATAATACCTTTTGAAATGGTTAACTAGTTCATGAAGTTTGAACAATACACACATTTGCAGAATGGTTTTATGTTTTTGGTGAATGTCAGGGAAAACATTCACTCTATTGATCTGCCAAACATTCACTACTCAGAACTTCTTTCGTATTTATGAACTTATATATATATATTTCAGTCTCTAAGAAATGCAAAATATATGTTTGCTTCTTTCTTAGAAGGATTAAGAAGCAAGAAGGCAAGGAAGAATTTCTATAAAGAACTTTCACATGCCTTCTACTATCTTGGAACTGCCTTCTGAAGTTGTGTATTGCCAGTGCCTTTTCCCAAGAAAATTTTCTTCCCTTTGTCATCTTACTTAGAGCATGCAGATTGTAATAAAATTGTGAAGCTAGACCTGAGTCAAACAAGTCAAACCCAGAATCAGTACTGGGTTTCCAAAGGTGTGTTTATTTAGTATTTATGGCTTGTAGTGTCCAACACAATCTTGTCTACTTGACACTGTAGCATGTGATGTTGTTTGCCAAGGTAATTTGAAATAGTGTGAAATGCCAGCATAAAGAGCTGTTGCATATAAAAAAGGGTGGAAAAAAGCCCAAACACCCTAGAAAACTCTACAGTTTATTTGACTGCAGTGATGATACAATGATGATATTAAATAATTTCCTCATTGCAGTAGTAGCTCAGTCAATCTACAAGTAGACCTTCTGTCAAAGTTGTTCAGAACACGTACAAGGCAGGAGGAATTTATCTGTCTAGAGCAAGATAGAGTAAATTCTAGAATTAAAAAAAAAGGAGAATAGAGGTGTCAGGAGTTGGAATACTCCTGGAATACTTTACTTTTTTTGTTTTCCATTCTCTAGTCAATGCTTCTGAAGGTGTTAAATTAATCCTTTGAGTCACTCAAAAAAAAAAAAAAAAGGAAGACAGTATGACATGTCTTCTCTGGTGGCTGTAAAACCATCTTCTTCCAGACAAGTTCTACAACAACACAATATGAAAGAAAATAAAACTGGATTTTCAGTTCTCCTTTTCATGAGACTGTTTTAAATCCTGAAAAAACTTTTTATAAAGTTTACTTTACCTTGCACAGGAGAGATTTTGCCAGTATTTCTTCAGTATGGGAAAGAATTTGACCTGTCCTATGAAAAATAATTGTTTAAGTAATGTGTAAAATTGATGGTTATATTAATATAGCTATAGGGTCAAGCCACTTCTAATCTGAGCTTGGTTCAATATTTAGGATTTCTTCAGAAAGATGATTCACAGTTTTTAGTCAGTCTACACTTTAAGTTCCTGCCTATCTTACCTTATAACAAGATTAGTGTGGTTTAGAAGATAAGCCCTTATTTTTGATAACTGCCAAATAGTCCCAGTTTACAAAAGACTCTAAAATTTGCTGTTTTGGAGATGTCGAATTCAATATTTTTAAACATGGAGGAGTAAACTCTCTTAAACTAGCAAAAGCCAACTCTTATCTGCTAAAAATTACTATTATGGAACTGTTAAGTCTTCTTTTTGTAAAATATCAAACCTGAAAAAAATATGGAAAAAAGAGAAAACAACAGTGAAAAAAGGAGTAAGTGAAGTTCCTGAGTCACAGTGGAATGGAGCTAATGTTTGTGGCAAGTTGAGTTAAGGAACTTTGGAAGGGGAAAGGAATTAATTTATTGTGGCAGTCCTATTCTATATTTCTGATCAGAACTGTATAAAACAGCCAATTGTAATTGCATCAAGTAATGTGGGTTTTTCAAATCACAAGATATGTCTACCGAAGTCACAGCAGGCTTTTGGAAAACTCAGCATCTATAGAAATAATATAAATGTCTATTTTTTTGCTTCACTGAGAGAGGAACGAACTATTGCAGACAAATCTGTGTTCTGTTTGTCTTCCCTGAATTAATAATATGCAGTCTGCAACAGCTAGATAAGGATGTGTCAGCTATTCCATAAATACAGTCACAAAGGAATATTTTCCTACTTCTTCAAATGGCATTGAGCCTATCAGTGTGTACATCCTATGATATATTGTCCCTTACAGCAAGATCAATGACCTCTCTGTTAGTGGTCAGATAGGCACTATGTGCTGTAGCTCAGGCAGTTTGGTTGGCTCACATATTCAAAGTTCCTGTTAACAGGGTACCATTGAGAAAAACAGGGGTTTGTGCTGATGTTGATGTGTAATATGAAACAGGAGACTGAAAAAGGAAAAAATATTTATGATAAATCTGAGGTCATTCACTTGCTTTGAAAGATGTATAAATGTATTGAGGACCACAGATTTTCAAGTCTAGCTCTAGTGAGCAGCATGTTGAGGTTTGTAACCTGTTTTATCAAGTTGGGTTGACTTTACATACCTTTTTTCTCTAAGCACAAATTTTAAGGATGCTGTGTTCTACAATATCTCCTTTACATTAGAGCTTTCATGGAAATAAATTGATGTCTACTTCATATTGCAGCTGTAGTTCATATTCTCAAGGATAGAGAATATTTTTCTAAAATGTGTAGCATCTGCTTTAGTGGTCCCAAATGCTCTGGGGACTTCATTCCTGTGCTGGATTTAATGAGACTCAATAGATCTGTCCTCATCAACAATTTCAAGGTGGAGAGATTTCAATCAATACTAGGGATAATAAGACAAGAAGATATTCTGAAGTCCTTGGCCAGTTTATCACAGTTTTCTGAAATTTACAATTTAAGACCTTTGTTTTTATAATGCTTTACTTTCACTTGATCTGATGTGGCCTTTAGGATCCATGTTAATCATACTGATCAAAAGTCTTTCAGTGGAAGGCCTTTTTAGTGGAGTGGAAATAGCATTGTCTTTCAACAGGAAATGATAATTTATGTCCTGGAACTCAGCTTTTGGATAGATAATACTATCAATAGTGGTAGTGTGCATGTCTGTGGATGAAGAAGAGCATTCTGCGGCAGTCTAATTAGACTATTTAGATATAGTAATTAGAAAGCACAGTAAGAGTTTGCAGTTATGAGGAATCACAGAAGTCTGCATCAAGGTCATCAACAAGTATATAAAACTAGGAACATGACAGATACATTTTCAGATGTTGTTCTGTACCTGCATTTGCCTTTGGTCGTCCTTCTCATGGTGTCTTGTGCAAGTAGTTTGCTTTCCTTCAAGCCCATGAAATTGTCATCAGAACATCAAGTTACTGTGTTGATGGTAATACAGTTGTTTTACACTTCCAGTATTTTTTGTAACTGCAGCAACCTTTAAGCATAGTCAAAAATAAATGTGTTTATGTAAGCAGTATTAAATTCTGAAAATAAATGCTAAACCCCTATAAAGATCTGCAAATGCTAATAGTAGTGCAGGTTCCTATTCAAATTAGAATGAAAAGCCTAAGTCCTTTCACACATGATAAGGCAGGAGAGAAACTACTTGTCCAGACAAATATGCTAAAGCCCACATAATAGCAAGTGTATTGTCATTTTAATGTCTACTATGGGAAGGTTTTGAGGAATTCAGATCTTTAACAGGTCCCCACACTTGAGTTCAAGCTCAAATAGTGTTCTCTATAGTTGGAAAGTGTGTTAATTCAGGTAGTATTTTTTTCTTGCATGCCAAACATCAGTACACTTGGTCACATTCTGGAAAATAGATTTTGGCATCAGATGTACCTATACGTTGAAGTTGAAGAGTCTCTTAGGGTGATATTAAATTAGGCACTTACAGGCAATGGTTTTCATGCTTGAAGGACCCTTTACTGGTATTAGACCACAGCAGTTCCAGTGTGTAATTGTGTAGACTGATACCTGCAGAATTTTGAAATATTTGTGAGGGAAAAAGTGAATATAAATAAAATGAAAGTAATATCATGAATATGCTATATATAGTCTGTCTGGACTGTCTCCTCACCTTCACCCTAGGGTTTCTTCAGCTGATTTCTGCCCTTGTTCTTTTCAAATTCTTATAAAAAGCGTGGGTTGTAACATGCATTTCTGCAATGGTGCTGTAATAATTTCCATTATAGTTTTACTTTGTCTTAATTTAGGCTAATTTTTAAAAATTTATGTCATTACTGTATGTTCAATATGTCATTAATATATGCTCAATGATACTGTGTGTTTGGATTCAGAAACAGCTGGATATAGCAATTAGTACTATGATTTAGTTGACACAATGGCTTTGGTCAAAGGTTGAACTTGATGATCTTCAAGGTCATTTCAGGCTTAGCGATTCTATGATTATATTTACTTGGGTCTCTGTAATGTACTTTTTTAGAGTGAGCATTTTGATAAAACATTTAATGTAGGAGAATACTTGTTTTACACACAGTGCATATAATGTGGTTACTGTTACATTTTTTTAGATGGATCTACCTTAGCCTTAGTTCCTCAGCTGGAACTTTGAAGAAAGTCTCCCAAATGACCCTACTGTGATACTTCAGTTGATACCATAGAAAAGTAATGACAGTATCAACTAAATACCTTTTGGATCATGGAACTGAAAAATATACCTTGGGTGTTAGCTGGCATTTAGTGCATAGGAGCAATCTAAACCTACTTTAAAATAAA